TCGACAAATTCCTTAACAAGATACTAAGTTTACCAAATATCTTTGTCTAATACCCGAAATCAGTTGAGGTCGAATGAGTCCAGGATGGGCGATACGAAGGATAGCGGAATAACAAGACTAAAAACGTTTCTCTTACTTAAATATGCCAGATATGCCAACAAATGATGATGGGGCAATTTTGATGAGGTCGTCTCTCTTGGGTTATGAACGCTTCGACGTCAGCAGCTTGTACTGATTCATTGAAATCCTCCACTGTTATAGCAATTTGATTTTGACTCAGTGTTGGAGGGAGGTTTAAATTCCATTGTTTTGTAGAGAAGCGATTTGACCAAAAACCGATACGCAAAACAATAATTTTGCTTTCTAATTTCCGGCTCGGCGCCATTTTGAATAATTATAGAGTTCTTTGTGATGTGCCTCTACGTCATTTAAAATCTTGACGTTTATTCCCTAATTCTTGACAATGTCCGACAATCAATTGCTAACTTTTCCTACATTTACACTGTTTCTCTTCCTTAGAAAAAAATAGAAAAGAAGGGAAAAAAGGAAGAAATAAGGAAAGAAGAAAAGTTTAGATTTTTTTTCTGTTAAGGATTGTTACGTCGACGTCAACTTGATGTTTCCACTTGAGACCATTTACTTTCGTGAACACACTCAGTCGTTCAGTCAACAGACTTATGATTTAATATATCCGTGCTTTTTTGAGGAACTAATCTATTATGAAAACCGCTTACGTCATGATCATGCAGTTACATCATTAATGATATGTTAATGTGGCACTGAAAGAAGCCGCCTGTAGATCCTAAAATACATCGTGTTGACATAGCGTGTGACATCAGCCTTAACGTGGAGTACGTGCACACGTTCGGGATAAGATTACCAAACATTAGAGGAAAATATTGACGAGAAGAATTTAAGAATTTTTACCGTGAATCCCGCATATATTTAGCCCCTCTCAAACACCCCCCCGCCACCTTTTCAGGGGAAGAAAGTTAATAAGCCCCCAGCCCCCCTCTCTTCCCCTAATTATTCTTCACTAATAAATGACGGACTGTATTAATCCGAGATGGTTTATTCACTAACTGGAAGTTCGGATTTGATTCTGATCCTCCGCTGCATGACCTCCAACTTTTTTTACCTTAGCTTTTCCACTTTGTAGTCTAGTTCTTTATGGAGAACTATCTAATACCATCGTCTTTCTAAATTAAATAAGCCCCCCTCTCAATTAAGTCCCCCCGCCTCTTTATCTGAGTGTTTTAGCATTTTCAGTTTCTACTTCCTGTTTTTCTTTGTCTCTTAGTGATTGGATGCATATGCCCTAGGGGTACTTTAAGTGTAAAGTCCACTTTCGTTTGTTCAGATATAAGGTCCGAAGTTGAGCCCAGAAATTAAGGTCATTGCAAGCGCTGTTATATTCCGTCCTATTCTGATTGCGTCCAAGATACCAGGATTTTGATCAACGGTCAGCGAGGTATATTGTTACAAGCTTTTTGCAGTAAACACTACTTTAGAAGTAGCTAATATTTATGATTTGATAACCAGGGTAAAACTCGTTCAGTGCTGACTCGTTGGGTTGTCTACTATCAGGGGTTTTTTTTCTTGAACGGCGCGAATTATTTCTAAGAACTGCATTAATGGAAGTTTTCAAATCTGTATGTCCTTGCAAACGTCTGCTTTAACAACTGGAAAGTGAGTATGATCATGCCTTATTGTTTAAAGTAAGGATTCTCTGTTTTCACGAATTCGATCATTGAAAATTGGCGCAATCGAGTCGTCTGCCGAAAACGGAAGCAAAAGGATCACCGAGCATCATATGGAAGTCTTTTATTTGTCATTTCTGCGTCAAAACTGGGTTGTAATATGACGGATTGAAGCTGAAAGGGTGTTCGCATACTCGATCAACCGTGGAATTTTGTTTTATCCCTTGAAATTTCACGATGGACTTTGCTGAACGTTTCGCTGATTTTGTACAAAAACTTGGCCTGGCTTGGCAGAGAGTTAGTCTCGCTGAGTTCTTTGTTGTTTTTTTTTTTTACAGAGGATCGGTATTATATATTACCTTGTGTATTCTGATCCACCGCAAGTCAGTAGAGGAATCTTGATTTAAGTCTTTGCCAAGTTAAATCTCATCAGTTTGCAAACTTTGTCTGTCGAAAAAGAAAAGAAAAATGCTAAATTGTGTTTATTATTCCCAAAAAAGATGAGGCACTTTTCGAGTCCAGAGACAAAACCCAAACATGTAATTGTAGCAACGAAAACCATCCTAAAATGCCACGTTCTTTTGATTGTCCGTTAGCCACATGCAAGGAAGAAATTAAAGTAACGCAAAATTGTTATGTGCCGTGTATGTAGAGTTATATAAGGGTCGAATTGATCCGCCATGCTGCACACCCTGGTGCAGAACAGTAGTTTAAAAATATGTGATTTACTAGTTGTGAGATTGGTAATCTCGAGATGATCTATCTTGGCAGTCGTTTCTACTTCAGTTACTTGTCGACATGTAGGTGATAATTATAGCGAACGATACTACTGTTTATACCACTACATGAGAAATTTCTGCAATTTGATTGGCTTAGAGCAGTGGTATTTCAGCTTAATTTGAAATACCTACATATGAAAATTACAAACCTTTTGCGGGTAGTAGTATAAACAAATAATAGCATGATTTGTACGTGATATTTGGCATAAATACCACTTGTGATATTTCGAAATTGTCTCAAATTTCACTCGCCTAACGGCTCGGGAAATTACGTATATCAATTAAATATAACAATAACAATTAACAATTAAATATCACTCGTGGTATTTATGCCAAATATCACTACAAATCATGCTATTACCTATACAAATATGGTGTTATATAACCAGTTCCGCTACAATATGTACGCGCGTTTTTCTTTATGGTCACTGGCTTTCAATGAGTTTGTTTTTATTTTATACACTCATAAAGTGATCAACGAATTATAATTCACCAATATATGCACACAAGTCGGCGTTATTTACATAAGTGCGTTAATTACGATTTTTACGACCACTCCAGCTGACACTATGATCTGGAGGAAAATTGGGGATTATCGTGTATGTTTTTTTTCAGCCCCAATATTTCTTTCAGAATCAGAGAGTGCTGCTACTGTTTTGGCCCACAAGCATATTCTGTGAGGCTTATTTATCGAGCAGAAGCCTGATTACGACTGAGTTAGCCTCTTTCAGGCGTTCAGATAGTGGACTGAGGGCGAAAAAAAGTCCTTGAACAGGCTACAGGACTGAGTATGCAAAAATTTACGTTTATGACGTGACACCAAAACATTTAAATTGTAATTATGTCTCTTCTTAATTTACCCTTTCTTTTGTTAAAAGTTTGTTTTTAGTGATTTGCAGTTCTCTTCAACCAACTTTTTTAAACTAGCATACAATCCTTCTTTATTTTATGTTTTAAATTGTTTTATCTTTAAACACATAAATTTTTGTTTGAATTTTATTTTATTTTATCTTTTATTCTAACTTTAATCTTGAATTGTAAAGCGCTTTAGAATATTTTATAATTTTAGCTATATAAATATAATTTATTATCATTATTATTATTATTATAATTATTACAAACTAATCGAGAGACAATGGTGCGAGCTCATGGCTTACCGCCGTGCTTCTTCTTAAACAAGAATTCAGAGACTTTCTGCGTATAATAAGCCCCTGTCCCACTTACCAAGCAAGTGTGTTTGTGGTGAGAAGTATACCGTCTGCCATGCAGGGAGGGTTCGTGACGCAGAGACACGATGGTCTTCGCAACCTACTTACCTCACTTATTGGTAAGGTTTGCACTACGGTTGAAGTCGAACCACAACTACAACCTCTCGATAATGAGCGATTCAACCTAAGAAGCGCGGTAACAAGCCCGGAAGCACGACTGGACTTCAACGCAGGGGGCTTTTGGTCTCGTGGAGTTACAGCATTTTTTGATGTCAAAATAACGCATGTTAACTCCAAGTGTAACCAGGGAAAAACAACATCCACAAAGAGGAGGAGAAAAAGAGGAACTACCAACAGAGGGTACCGGACGTTGAAATGGGATCTTTCACTCACCTAGTTTTTGGAACCATCGGTGGGATGGGAGCCGACTGTAACTGCTTTCTCAAACGCCTAGCCGAGAAGCTCTCAGAAAAGAATGAGGAACCTTATCACATTACTATTACTTGGATTAAAACATTGCTGTCGGTAGACACATGCGTCAGAGGTTCCAGGACACCCTTCCACAAAATTCCATAAGGGGATTTCATTGATGACTGCCGCTTAAACGCTATTAGTATTTTAGGATCTTTTTAATATTTTTATCTCATTTTTAATCGAAATGAATTGTTTTTAATTGAAATGAGTTCTTTTTTTAAATTGAAATGAATTTTTGTTAATCTAAATGAACAGGAGCTTATGAAATAAAATGACTTGTAAATAGTGCTTTGATTGAATTTTTTTTTCTTCTTCAGCGAAATTAATCACGTAAATAGGTTTTAATAGTTACTTTTATTATTGTTGTTATTATTATTATTATTATTATTATTATTATTATTATTATTATTATTATTATTATTATTATTATCATTATGTAAAATTTAGCACAGGGATTCTCCCTGTGGGGGAAATTGCTCCAAGTGGCCTGCCAGCTTCTTTGACACCGAACCCAATGCACCTACAACCACTGGCACCACTTTTGTCCTTGATTTCCAGATCCTTTGAATCTCTCTTGCCAGGTCTTGGTACTTTTCACACTTTTCAGTTTTTTTCTGCAGAATATTACTATCTCCGGGAACAGCTATGTCCACAATGATTGTTTCCTTTGCCTTCTTTTTCTGAATTACAATGTCTGGCCTCCTGTGATTATTATTATTATTATTATTATTATTATTATTATTATTATCATTATGATATGAATGAAATGAAGTATGTGTTAAGAAATATTTACTTATTGTAATTTACATTACAATTTATTTCGATAGTGAAATTCCGGGATGGCCCTGCAGCCTTACCAGGACGAGGATTTGAATTATTTCAAATTTTCTTCCCTTGTGCTCAAAGAATTCCCAAAAGCCTTGAGACAGACGTTTAAGACGATGTGGGACAATACCCATGGACGTCATCCTGGTTTTCAGGAATGGGATGATTCTTCTACCGTGAGAAATTTGTTTGGCACTGCAGAAGGTGGCAGAACCAAAGTTCCTGTCCATCAGTCATATCACGAATGGGATTGCACTGCTTTGTTCCAGGCCACTATCTACTCGCGAGTGTTCGCCGTACATCACGGAACGCTAAATGACGTGTATGTTAAGCCTCGTGGACTATCACATGGCCATTTTCATCCGTCCGTAGTGAGCATGAGTGGAAACAATGAGGAAACTCAGGCATTAGCAATAGATCAGTTGCGCCTTTTGAGGAATTCCCTTTGTCACTCGACCAGTTCCAAGATAACCAAGGTAACCTTTGACCAGTACGTGAAACACGCCAAGGACGCGTTCCAAGCGCTGAATGTCTCTACAGCTCCAATTGATGCTGTTGGTAGTTTATCAGAGTCAGACTTTCCAATAAATGAAGTCCGCAGACTTGAGCAGGCTATCAAAGAAGAATATAAATCGTATATAAGGTTTCTTGAAAGTGTGAAGGAAAAAATGGAAAGCGATATTGCAGACAAAGAAGACGTCGGTATGTTGTCGCGAAAAATGGATGAGCTGAAGGCCACGGTGCAAGCTGAGGTTGCTACTCTATTTACGTCACGTAAGTCTAAGTGAACATCATTAAATAAAAACCCAATGATAATATAAATAAGCGTTAAATTCCAAACTACCGCCTTCTTAAAACCACTGATGTTTTTCTATATCGGAGTTAGATCGCTTTATAAAAAGTGAAAGACATTTATAGTTGTAGCGCAAATAAGTTCAAGGTGGGCAGTTGAATCGTCCAACTCGCGTCAAACTCCTGCGATTAAAGAAACTGAAAAAACACGAAGACTTTAGTTCCTCGGATGGTAAAATAACGGCACGCAATGCAAGCTTCACACGGTTGCTGCAGCATATGAAGCCCTTGACTGAAAGCTGATGCATTACATGTATTCCGTCAGCTTATAATGTTGTCGCCACTCATTAAGGCAAAAATGAGTTGATGAGGGAGAATGCAACAACAGGGCTCTAACCATGGACCCTGGCTCCATCCATTGCTTGTTTCCTCCTCCAGTCTCAACTTTACAACATCCTGCGGCTTTGTCTGAAACATACATGCTGCTTTTTTCCCACACTCTTTCAACTCCATTTCAAGGTGTGCGTCTAGAAGATGGTTAAAGCATGCCCAATCATAGCCTCCCACGCAGGCGTTTTTAGGGGAGCTCGTTTTTCATCTCTCCCCACAAAAGCCTGCTCAGCCGGAAACAACATTCCTTTCCAATTTTATTTGCGTGGTAAGTGACCAATAAACAGTTGTGCAATAAAGTGTTGACAGGCTAAACGCGACTAAAACGTGACCCTACAGTTCCCGGGGGCGGGGGCACTTTAGGAATTTCTGGGTGGGGATGTGTCGCTGGGACCCTGGAACCCTTAACCTATACCAGAGCTAGTTCAGCTGAATTTTGCTACCCTATACTAGAGTAAACTCCCCAAATCCCCCTATCCTAGAGTAGCTGTTTACCTAGTCTAGATAAAATCTTCAACCAACTGATCAGATTCCTGAAAAATAATACCCTATTCTAGACCCAAGCGCGCTGATTTATATACCCTATCCTAGAGAAAACTGCTTGAAAACCATACCCTTCACAGCGGCACATACCTGTATAGCCCATATATGGCAGTACCTCCCCCGGGCTACAGTTACCGTTTTCCTTCTTTTCTTTCCTTCGTTAGGGCTATGAAGTGCATGGAGTATTCTAAAATTTGATGAAATCTTATTTTTGCCGCTCTGAATCTAACATTTATTGGATTTTAGGAAGTTTTCCCAGTGTTTCATGCAGATCGAGTAATTTTCAGATTACCTTGCGGTCAAGGCCAACTTTCCAGAATTTGGAAAGTACAATGTGATTGGCTAAGCATGGGAAAGGAATGTTGTCTTCGGTTGAGCAGGCGTTTGTGGGGAGGAATGAAAACCGAGCTCCCCTAAAAACGCATGCGTGGGAGGCTAGCCCAATCAAGGAAGTTTTGGCACTGATATATCATGATGTCATAGATGATGTTCTATTCTTACCTCCCTGATTAAAAAGACAACCTGGTTAACTAATGATCTCTCATGAGATCCTTTTTTATTTCTTTTTTAATTTTCCTACCTCGATGTGAGCCTGTCGAAGCCTGGTGGTATGAGTAATGAGTAGCAATCAATCTGACAACCCGTCTAATAGCATAATCGTACGTGTGCAATGTAGCATTAGGGTGATACGTGAGACCTTCTGTAGATCGATATATAGTCAGAGAGGCACAGCATGAGCCTATTCATCCCATAAATGTGGTATTTACTGCGCTTCACTGTACCTACTTTTGTATCTTCAGGCAACTGCAATCAAAATTCATGCTAATTATCGTGGAATTTGTGACATGTTTAGATTTCCAGATGTGCCGAGGCGCCTCATTTTACATTTGAATTCCCTTTTTACATGTTTTTATTCAGTAAACTAAGTTTAGTTCTCATTATTAACAGCTCGTCTTCGTCTGCTGATTGATTGTGCGGAAATCAAAGGACTTTGTCCTCAGGGAGGAGCTACAGGGGGGATAGTAACTCAACAGGAAGCACAGACAGTGCAAAAAGAGGAGTCTTCAAAGGCACAAGCACCTGATGGACCCCAAGGAGTGGTCGAAGGAATAGCAGCTGCAGGTTTAGATCAAGAAAGTGTCAGGAGAGGAGCTGTTCCTTCTTCGCAGGAAGTTTTAAATTCAATTGCGACAAAGTACTTACAGGAACTCAACCCTTCGACACCTGAGGAGTTTAATAAATTTATTCAGTACATGAAGGAGGTGCGTAAAGTTATTGTTGTGGATGTTCAAAGTGGAAGTTTAATACTCATACTGGAATGTAGCTCTCTTCAGATCCTTGACGAACTCTGGGAAGACTATTGCACAGGTCACTTAAATGAAGTGGCACAAAAATTCCTTGTAACAGAAGAAATTCTCAAGGAATTTGGCCTAGCTGAAGTAAAACTCACAACAACTATTAACGAAGAGGAATACAAAGCTTGTCGTGAGCTTTTATTGAATTCTTCAAGTAAGTATTAAGTGCTTAATCACAAATCCTAAATACACCTACTGGTGTTTAGCAAAACACGGCCTGGATTTCGACATACCAATCTGGTAAGTACCCTGGGTGTGACGCAGTGCGACCCCCCCTTTGAAAAATTCTAGGTACGCCCCTGAGTTAACATATGCGAAACTACGGCTCGCCACGATGCCCTACGTATTCGGGAAACGTGTACGGCGAGAAAATAAGTTTAATTAGCAAATCACCAAATTTGCATGTGCATCTTACTTTTTTTCCCCCATTTTTTTGCCATCGTGCACGACCTCGACGTGAAAATTCCTAATTTCATGTTTTATGGGGGACGTATCGTAAACAAACAATGATGAGCTCTTTTCCCCAGGGCGTAAGAGGTTAGGGCGTTGAAACGAGCGGGATCGAGCGATCTAGCTGTGATGCAAGCGTCTGGGTACTATCAAAGAGACAAAACAAGATGGCGGACATTATATTGGACTGTCAGAGAGATTATCCAGCGAAAGTTAGCCATTATCCCGTGGCATTCATTTGCTGCAAGCAATAGCGAAGGAAAAATTATTTTTTCTCATGTTTGTTTTCTGTTTTGTTCAATTTTTCCCCCGCGAACAAATATCTGTATTGAAAATAGTTCCACCTCCGTGACCTGTATGAAAATTTCGTAACTTGGTAAGAAAATGACATCACAACTCAGATGATAGCACTGACATCATTTTTAGACTAATATTATCGGTTCCCTACTTCAGTTTAACACCAAGTTGTGTAATTCATCATCTGCTATGGCATTTTTTTTTTTTGCTGCCCAGTTTCAAGGCCAGATGATCTGTTTTCACTATTACAGTTTGGATTTGTTGGTGTACATCAGTATTGTTCTCTAAACACCTTATTGAGCTATCTCCAATATTGAGCATTACAGTTGGACAGATTGTGAAAACTAAAGTCCGGGTAAATTTAAAATTTAATAAAATCATCATGTTTTATCTTGGACACTAATACTACTGTGCAATGAAGAATAAGGATGAGAAGAAAAATATAATTCACTACCCTTGAAAAACTAACAAAGAGGTCGCAAGAACACAAATAAGTAGCCCAGTAAATATTTTTGTTTGATAATAACAGCTTTTTGTAATGAAATGGTCACTGAAAACTATCCATGCAAGATATACTAAGGAACTTAAAAGAAACTAAACATTCACTAGTCTTACATTGAAACCAGACATTGCTATATATTTATCTTACATTACAAATTCAAAAGTATATTGCAAACACGAAAATTATACAGAATTGTGCACAAATGAAATACAAATGGCCTGTAACAGCTATTAAACCATTGAAACACAAACTTTTTAGTGTGGCCAGCAACCCCAGCACACTTGTATACTTCATGTCCAGTATGATTAAATTTCATTCTTGGTTAAATTTATTAACTGCAGCAGGCTGAATCAAACTTGATTCAAAAAATACTTTCCTGTTTCCTTGTCTACAATATGTAACGTTAAGAGAGAGGATATAATGCTAGAAATATCATATAGTAGTACAATCAAAAGATAAGGCACCTCCAGGAAATCGAGTTGGTCCCTACTATTCTTCATTCATTTTCTTTTACTCTCTATAAGAGTTACACCTGTCCATTGACACAGACATTTTGTGCCAGTCCCAATAATTCCCATCTGAGAGCTGACTGGAGTTTGTGCAACACCACACTTAAGCCTCTAACGACAAAAATACAATGTTACACAGTCTTAATTTATTCTACTTGCAATTAAATTAAGACCTCTTCATGTTCTTCTTCATATTCACGGTATTATGAACTCGTTTATCTTTCAGTGTGTCTTTTCAGGCGGGGCACTCACTGTTGTCCTGCAAAAAATCATAATAACAAACACATCCTATGATTTAATTTTACCGTGGAATCTTTGTGGGGAATTGAAAGCAAATTTCTCCACAGGCTTTTTTCTGTTTCTGTGCAATACAACCTTTAGATTTATACCGCAGTGAAGCAGAATTTGTTGTTGTTTATGTAAAGACTGTCACATGCACGAGATCATTCGAATGCACTTTTCTAATAGAACTTCAAAAATAGTCAGAACCTTCTTGGATCGCGGTTCTGTAACTAAAAAAATTATTTACCATCTTAGTGTACATTAAAAAAAGAAAAATCGCTAAATTGGGCAACTGAAATCTTTTATTTTAGTAACAAGCTAAACGCCAACGTACAAAAGAAAAACCTTGCATGCTATCGCCTTTATGAAGTCGTCACTTCAGAAGTGAAAAAATCGTAAAGGTTAATAAAAGTTTACTCTAAAACTTTGCATGCACAAACAAAATTTATAAAACCATTAAACATTTTTTTTGTAGCCGTTTATTATCATTTGGTTTTGACTGGCAATATAAAACGCGACCTTCAACCTGTAATATGCGATAGGCCATTTTGACACTACATAAACAAAAAAAGGCGAAAAAACACCTTAACTTACAAGAATTAACTTAACTTTACTTAACTTAACCTTAACTTACAAATCTAAAGATTTAAAGCAATAAATCCGAACCTACCTTCAGCTAAACGGCGCCATTTTTCTTGCCCTGACAGCGGATCGATAGCTGAAAGGCCAACTAGTTCCAGTCCTACTCCGCATCACAGCTGAACCAGAGAGCGCGTTTTTGCGTTTCGACGCCCTAACTTCTTATGCCCTGCTTTTCCCTGTCCTAACTCGGATATGAGTTCGCCTACATTAGACAAAGAACCGACTTGCAATAATCACAAATAATTTAAAAAGAATGCGAATTCACGTTTTATAAAAAAGTGGCGATTTGGCTGCTGTCGTAGTCTTCACTTTAGGCATTGACGCGTGGTCGGAAAAAAAACTACTTCCGGTCACCGTGCTGTCCTTACTAGACTTATCTGTAGTCCTTCTTAAAAGTCGATCATCACTAAACACTAATATCTAATTATATATTTTTTTAAATGATATCGCCTGCATTCCTATTCAATGGTTCTACTGGTTTCTTTTGGTCTTTATTCAGTTAAATAAAATATGTATTTCCTCTTTTTCTGGTGCTGTAGAGAATCAATCTAGTGTTGCTGATAACCTTTATCAACTTGGAACCAAGAAACGTGAGCAACAAGATATCAAATCATTCCACAAATTCGACCAGCGTTCGCCGGGCATACTTAAAAAACTATTTGGGGAAGAACTCCAAAGTACTGCTGACTGGTACTACGACGTGGGGATAACACAGCATCACCTTGGTGATTTTAAAGCAGCTCTGCAGTCAGAACAGCGTGCACTGGAAATACGAGTTAAACTGTTTGGAGAAGAACACCAAAGTACTGCTAACTGTTACCAGTCACTGGGGGTAACACAGTATGAACTAGGTGATTTTAAAGCAGCTCTTCAATCACACCAGCGTGCACTTGGCATACGTGTTAAACTGTTTGGAGAAGAACACCAAAGTACTGCTGACTGTTACTACTCACTGGGGCTAACACAGCATGAACTAGGTGATTCCAAAGAGGCTCTGCAGTCAGAACGGCGTGCACTGAAAATACGTATTAAACTGTTTGGAGAAGAACACCAAAGTACTGCTGACTGTTACTACGCACTGGGGATAACGCAGCTGAAACTGGGTGATTTCAAAGCAGCTCTTCAATCTTATCAGCGTGCGCTGGACATACGTATCAAACTGTGTGGAGAAGAACACCAAAGTACTGCTGACTGTTACCACTCACTCGGGTTAACACAGCATAACCTTGGTGATTTTAAAGCAGCTCTGCAGTCAAAACAGCTTGCGCTGGAAATGTGTATTAAACTGTTTGGAGAAGAACACCAAAGTACTAATGACTGTTACTACTCATTGGGGATAACACAGCACGAACTAGGTGATTTCAAAGCAGCTCTTCATTCGTTTCAGCACGCGCTGGACATACGTATTAAACTGTTTGGAGAAGAACACCAAAGTACTGATGACTGTCACTACTCACTGGGGATAACACAGCGCGAACTAGGTGATTTCAAAGCAGCACTTCAATCTCACCAGCGTGCGCTGGACATACGTATTAAACTGTTTGGAGAAGAACACCAAAGTACTGCTGACTGTTACTACTCACTGGGGATAACACAGCATGAACTAGGTGATTTCAAAGCAACTCTTCAATCTCATCAGCGTGCGCTGGACATACGTATTAAACTGAATGGAGAAGAACACCAAAGTACTGCTGACTGTTGCTACTCACTGGGGATAACGCTGCATGAACTAGGTGATTTCAAAGCAGCCCTTCAATCTCACCAGCGTGCGCTCGGCACACGTATTAAACTGTTTGGAGAAGATCACCGAAGTACTGCTGACTGTTACTACTTACTGGGGGTAACACAGCATGAACTAGGTGATTTTAAAGCAGCACTTCAATCTCACCAGCGTGCACAGGAAATACGTTTTAAACTGTTTGGAGAAGAACACCAAAGTACTGCTGACTGTTACTACTCACTGGGGATAACACAGCACGAACTAAATGATTTCAAAGCAGCTCTGCAGTCAAAACAGTCTGCACTGGAAATACGTATTAAACTGTTTGGAGAAGAACACCAAAGTACTGCCAACTGTTACTACTCACTGGGGATGACGCTTCATGAACTAAAAGATTTCAAAGCAGCTCTCCAATCGTTCCAGCACGCGCTTGACATACGTATCCAACTGTTTGGAGAAGAACACCAAAGTACTGCCGACTGTTACTACTCACTGGGGATAACACAGCATGAACTAGGTGATTTCAAAGCGGCTCTGCAGTCAAAACAGCGTGCGTTGGAAATAAGTATTAAACTGTTTGGAGAGGAACACAAAAGTACTGCTGACTGTTACCACTCACTGGGGATAACACAGCATGAACTAGGTGATTTCAAAGCAGCTCTGCAGTCAAAACATCGTGCGTTGGAAATACGTATTAAACTGTTTGGAGAGGAACACAAACGTACTGCTGACTGTTACTACTCACTTGGGGTAACTCAGCATAAGATGGGTGATTTCAATGCCGCGGTTCAATCTTCACGGCGTGCTCTTAATATACGTATTAAACTGTTTGGAGAAGAACACCAAAGTACTGCTGACTGTTATCGCTCACTGGGAAAAGCACAGCACGGACTAGGTGATTACAAGGCAGCTGCTCAGTCAACAGAGCGTTGGCAGGACATACGTAATAAACTGCGCGGAGAAGAAAACCAAAGTACTGCCTCCTGAATGCTACTATAGAAACTTGGAATTACAGAACATAAGCCAGGGATCAGGTAGGGAATTTCAATGAAGCACTTTAGTCGAAAATGCGCCGTGCACTGGATAAACATATCATGGTTGGACAGGAACACAAAAATACTGCTGACATTTTTTCATGTTTTTTAAATTAGTACACATTAGATGTAACATAAGAAAGCATTACAGTGCAGCTGTTGAGTCAAAACAGCTTGCGCCAGATAAAGGTATTCAACGTTTTGGAGAAGAACCGCCAAAGTGCTGCTAACTGTTACTACGTTTTGGAGAGAACACTGCAGCTCGTAGGTTAACCCAGCCGTATATACGCTGTACGTACGTAATTAACAGCGTGGAAAATAAGACCTAAGTATTAGAGGATTTCAATGCAGCCCTTCCTTCAAAACAGCTTGTGATGCATATATGTGTTACACTGTTTGGAGAAGAACACTTCAGTACTGCGAATTTTTACTATGATTTACAGCCACCGTATTGAGGAGAACACAGCTGGGTTGCTCATTTCACTGCAGCTTTTTTCACTCAGAACAGTGTGCGCTGGGGATTATGTACTATACTGTTTAGACTCTGTTTGGAGAGTTTGGAACATTAAGAGTACTGCTGATTGTTAAGCTCCGTGCCCGGGCTCCGTGCAGACGGACGCAACATTGTTGGCCAACAAATCCCAACAATACTGGATGTTACATGTTGAGTCCGTTTGCACACGTTGTTGCATGTTGGTGGGAGTTTATGCACAAAGTTTGAAACCGATAAACCTTTTAGCTCAAGTGCTAACGGCCGCAAAATCCCCAAAATGTTGGGCGTTTTGGCCAGCATCGTTGAGTCCGTAGCAAGGGGCTTTACTTCGAGGTAGGGCGGATGAAAAGCCGCCTAAACTAGGTGACTTTAAATCCGCCGTTTATTCTTACCACCTGGACAGTGACCGTGAAGTGGAGGAATTAAACGCAGCTTACATTGAGTAACTGAGTTGACAAAATCATACTGTCGAGAGTAAATTACGATCATGGCCGTATTAGAAAGGTTATGTCATTGTATCTCTCATTGTGCGAGTCAGGTTTTTAATTTAGCTATCTTAATTATGAGGCCAAAGCAGTAGAGTTTTAAACCAAGGCCTTAAAATGGCCTTGATCAGTACTTAGCAGTCTAACCACACGCATGCGTCTCGTGGTTCCACTTGATATTTGAGGACTTTGACATAATATCATGTTGGTCGATAAGAGGATATATAGACTATGGAATCAGTTTTTGACAATTTGTGTGATAGAATTTAGATTTTTTGTGGCAAGTTGACGTCAAATTGATATCTTTGGTCTGTTTTAGTTTGTTTTAAAACATATGTAGGCTCAGTCATTCAGTCGAGAAGGGTATTTATCCGTGTGGGAACTAGATCAATTATATGAAAATCATTTACGATATGATCAGTTTCATCATAATGTGTGGCGCTGAAAGAGTAATGAAACAAGTTTTCATGCATTTACTTGCATTAATTTTTACACCTTCGGGATGTTATTTCCAAACATGACGTAAATCATAAAGGATTTTGAAAGGTCACTTTATTAATTAACCCGTCCACCCTCAATGGGGTACTCAACAAAGTTTATCGACGCTTTATCTGAGGAAGGCTGCACCCCGAGGTCCCATTCTTCTAGCTTTCTTTTTTGCCATTTTTGATAGTAAGATACCCCTTCCGTAGACCTTCTAATGACAAATTGTACCCCGTCACACTCGAGCACCTGATATAAGTAATGATCGCTAAACCAGGAAGTCCTCTTTTATTTTACAGCCGCTTAAGATGCATCTGTACGAAAAATTTGAATACCTAAATGATAGTTTCCCCACTCTTTCCCAGACCCCGTAGACGGAGAGTAGTCTCTCTTTTTCTTTAGGGGAGGGAAGTGCACTCGCGCGCGAGCGTCAAGCGCCTTCAGTCACGCGGGTGATCGTTTGGCTCGACGGACTAAGAAAAAAGAGAGACTGCTAGTAGTCTACAGACCCCTCTATACACCTAAAGCCTGAAAAGCGTACCCCTTTTGAGTGGAGCAGAACGGTGGACAGGGAGATTATTAAATAGAGTCTAGAAAATTCATTCATTCGCTGCTAGCAATATAGCGAAGGGCTATAGCATGCATTCTGGGGAACTATAATATCATAAAATTCTGCAAATTAGCAACTAAACAAAGAATTTACTGGGATACAAATAACTAGTCCAGCAAATATGTTTACTTGAAAGTTAATAACTGAAAACTACCTGTTCAAGAGACTGAATGAGGTACTTATAAAAACGAAACTAATAACATTAAACTATAATAATAGCGAAGAGAGATTTTCTGAATCCTGTCATAATGATATTTAGAATAAAACGAAGATTCAATTCACAGGAAAAGAAAAAACTTCTTACTTAGTTATTACTGACTTACTTATTTAACCTATACTATTAATGTAGTCCTCCAGCCCGGGGGGGCACTTGGATAATTTTTGGGTGGGTATGTGCCGCCCGGGACTCTAAATTGGCACCCCGTTCTAAAAAAAATTTCCCCTAAAATTGATACCCCGTTATAGAAATGAGCCAATTTTTTTATACCCCGTTCTAGAATTCGCCCTAAAGCTGATACCCCGTTCTAGAAATGGGCCAGTTGCTTATACTCCGTTCTAGAAAGTTTGTAAATTGAAAAAGCCCTGTTTTTTAAGAGATATTTCTTTCCTTGTTCGACTTATACATCAAATAAATGCTTCTTCATAATCAGCAACAATTTTAAGCAGAAGATAAAGCCGTGATCCACAATTTTTTATACCCCGTTCTAGAAAACGCCCCTGAAATGGATACCCCGTTCTAAATCAGGAGCTTCAAAATCACGACCCCGTTGGGCGGCACATACCCGTATAGGTAATGTATGGGAGTGCCCCCCCCGGGTCCTCCAGGGACATGTTCTCTCTGGAGTGAGTTGCTTTGAATCCAAACTTTGCTTTGTGATAAAACATAACACATACAATTGCTTAAAAATTTAACAAATGTCTCATAAATGATGTGGTTCAATTAAATTCTTGGTTGAAACTTTCCTTTGTGTCAGACACATTATCATACAAGCTACGGGTCCTACAGTCCGAAAAAGATGAGTGTCAAAATATACTGCAATGAATACCTTAAACGTCCAATTATACTCCCCGGGCTTATACAACTTCGTAAGGGCTGGGAGGGCTTATAAATAGGGAGCCTATATCCACACTAAAGAAAAACCTTTTAAAACAAGCAACAAAGTAGTCTGCTACACAGCCGTTTTTAGTGTTGTCACGCAACGCTCCTCCCCACTAACGGCCGTTAGTGGGGAGGAGCGTCGCGTGACGACACTAAAAACGGCTTTGTAGCACTCAAAATACTTGTTGAATTTACTCGCCTTTTTTAAGCTTCAAAACCTCGCAAAAAATCGAATTTATTTAATTTTAGTACAAGCAAGATAGGGGCTTACATTCGACAGGGGGGATGGGGGGTATAACCGGATGTCTTTTTTTTGTTTTCAGCTCAGGGCCCGTTATCGTCTATAACTGCTGGGAGGGCTGATAAGGGAGGAGATTATAAAAGGAAGATTACGGTATATGACTAGACTTTGTTTTTATTGTTAATTGATGTCTAAAGGCCGATTTACACGGTATAACAGTTTGTTGCATGCGATGTCCTTACCATAAGCAGATCAAACCGACGCCATCCTCGTTGTTTCTTATGGTCACCTGGTCTTGAAATAAAACCAAGCATCTTTGGCGATTATAAACCAACATCAGGCTGTGATTGCATGTCTGAGACGTTTTTTTCACAATACATTTCGGTTTTTACCTGTATCTTCGGCACATTATTGATCGGATGCGACAAAGTTGTATCGTGTAATTAGATCTTGTTGAAAAAACTTAACTTGAAGAGGCTTCGTTACGCTAATTCTTCTCTTTTTAAAAAGCTGAAACTTGCTTAAATTCCAAAAATAATGGTCCAGTTTTCTTAGCTAAGACTATATTTAGGCAGTGAAACTGTTTTCAGTGTCGTCTATTTCAACGGATGGCAAGGATAGACTTTGATTAAACCGTTTTGTCAAGTTTCAATGCTATTCCTTTACAAAAATCTCCAAAACAGTAATTATGGGTAGTGCTCCAAGAATTGTTTGATATCTTCTTCATGACGCTTCAGGAGATTTTGTGAGATTTTGAAACAGAATTGACTTAAAACAGCAATACCCTCGTGGCATAGCCCCTGCAGATTAAATTTAGGTTTCTGGAAAATTAAACTGCCCAACTACCCCTCCCGTAACCCCAAATTTTTTCCCAAGTGAGACGCAAATGTAAACGCTGAGTTAGGGGAGGGGTAGGTGGGCAGTTTCTTTGAAACCTAAATTGATCCGCCCTGTCAATGCTAAAAAAGAACCTTTATGTTCTGTTGAGCTAAATAATTGCATTTAACAACAACAACAACACCAAAAGCTTTATTTGCATGACCATAAAGGAATTACAGTAATGTAAAAGCTATTAGTCTAAATTTAAGTACTAATTCAACTAATTAGTGCGTGCAAAACATTACAAAACGTTACAGTTCTCATTCATTCGTTCATTGATATTAATTTGGTTCTTAATTCAAAGCATTGCAAGATAAATGAAACTAATTGACAGTTAATTAAATAATCAGAAGAATTCATAAGAACAGATATTAAAGTATCTTGTGAAAGCGATTTAAAGTCAGGTATTTTAGTTTCTAGTTTGGAGAAAAATATGTCTCTGATCTGAGAATAAGCCTTACAATCTAGTATTTGAGTACCTAATAAATAGACTGACCTCATTGAAACGGAAATTAACTTTTCAAAATTTTTTGGTTTTACCAGGGACTGCGGAGCAAAATTTTGAAGGAGAGGGCTAACGACGGCCAAAGGCGTGAGAAATTAGGGAGGTTGGGGGAAATTGTCCCCCGGGAAATTTGAAATAAAGACTCTCGCAAGTACGATTTCCAGCGTTTTAAAGTGCATTTACGACATGTTTCAGTATTTAACTTCATGAAACTCTGCTCATTGCGTTAATGAGAAAAGGCATTCCTGACCGTGATAATAATAAAAATCTTTAAAAACGTAGCCAACGTCACAATTATTCGTGGATGTTCTCGGATTGCTACTAAATGGAGAGTTTATACATTGACATTTCAGGCAGTTTTTTTTAATCCGCATTGTACATGAATGTTTTACAATCGAAGAGCTGGATAACTTGCTGTATATGATGTTTACTTACAGAAACAATCAAAATGGCGGCAAAGTTATTGGGGGACCATAGTCCCTAGTCCCCCAGCTCCGCGGTTCCTGTTTACTTGTTTACTATAACCCTGTGCTCCCCTTATAAATACATAGTGGAATTGAAGACAACCAATCCAAAAAAACGTTGCCTCAGGTTTAATTTAAAGGTTTGCTTTGAGCAATATGACGTCACAGTAGCCGTCAAATTGGAAACCGGTTGATTATTTGTGTGCCAAATTCTGTTTCATTGTGATCCACTCCCCGGATGTGACTGGAGGATACTTGTTAGACCCATCCATACATGTGATAACTGCATCGACATCCGGGTTAAAGAATAATGCCAAGGAACGACGGTGACGGCGTTTGATCTGCTCTTCGGGTATCAGTACACGATGAACCTGCGCGAATTAGATACAATCAGTAAGTTAATTTAAGGCAGTCCCTTGTTTGTTTACACTGGGCCGTTAGTTAGGAATCAGAGGAATTCGTGTATAAGCGTTTTGGAACAGTCCTAAGGAGCTCTCCAAATCAATCAGCTAGCGATACACTCAAGAAATTAATATTTTGACAGAGAAAAAACGTTTAGCTGACAATTTTTTTGTTCGTATATAATGCTAATCATGCGCATGCAGAGATAAACCGGAGCTTGCATTTTGTCGGGGAAAAGTGTTTTCACTTAATTTCCGGGGGGTATTCCCTATAATGGGAGGTTCCTACCGAAAGGGGTACCTTTTTCAGGCTTCAGGTTTATGAAAGGGTAGGAATTTCACTAGTTGAAGTATATAAAGGGGTAGGGAAATCTGTCTTTCCGTCTATAAAAAGACCTACAAAAGTTAATACTAATAATAAAAGTTAAGAATTTATGGCGACAGGAGCCCATCAAATGATGGGTTCCTGGTGGTGATGAAAAAATTCCTGGTTTTCTGACTTTTTCATATTTTAAAGACAATGCATTCACAGCAGTTAAAAGGGATGCAGAGCTCTAGACCTGGCCTTTTCTGTAAAAAAATGCATGAAAACAGTATGGAGTTGGACCTCGGGGCGGAGCCTCCCCTTGTAGAACTTTTTTGAGTTTTACCCCCCGGGGGTAAATTAACCAATTTGTGAAAACATTGAAACGAAGGCTTAGTATGAGGGTTGCATTCTCCAACATACCGTTGATTTCAGTTTATCCGCCGTCCATCTTTCCATCATGTCGCCAATGTTGACCACTATTGTTCCTTCCATTGGTGGGGCACGAACAAATTTTCCATCAACGTTGCGTATCTGAAGCAAATTAAGAAGCAATGGACTTGTTAGTGTAAGGGAATGCTTTTTTCTTGGTTATGTAGGGCCAAGTAGAAATAAAGACGAATGTTTCTCGTCCGGATTTCTAGAAAAAAGAAAGCAGGCGGGCGTTTGTTTTTGTTATTTCCGGACCTTTTTATTCAAGGTTTTCAAGTGAATGCTCGCTCGGGGATTAGTTGGAGTTCTTCGGTCAAATATTAATATTGAAACGTCAGATAATGATTTAACACAAATTTGGTTTGAGACATGTTTTAACAACGTAATGCGTCGTACGGTATACCTCAATAGGCAAGGTGCATGAAAAACGTCAGTAGGTTTCTTTTTGTGAAAAGAAACGCCTGTTACGCAGGATTGTAGAAAAACTGGTGTTGAAAGTAAATCGTGTTGGTTTTTGTTCATTCCATCATTTCTAATAACAAATGATAAGTGAAAAATAGACGACCCCAAGAAATGAAGCGGGAGGGGAGGAGAAACATTTCTTTGTTTATTATTATTATTTTTATTTGCTTGGCCTTATTAATGGTAGCTTTCTTTACCTCAAGTCCACCAACATCATCCTGGATCAGAAGTGTAATGGCGCCCCAGTCAGTATGCTCTCCACAGCGAAGCTGACCTGGTTTGACGTTACTCATATCAGTTATCGTGGGGTAGTAACTATACCTTAACAAAGTTTTTCCTTGTAAAGTGCCTGCTTTTTCAAATGCATGGGCAAACGCGTCATGTTTCTGTTCAAGAAATCAAAGAATAAGTTAATGTATAGGTTTACCCAAAGCTAAAAGCGAAGCTCCCGTTTAATACACTAAACATTTATAATTTGCGTCAAAAAATAAACTTGTAACCATTACAAAGAAATCCACTTGAGGTTGGGCCCGCGATCAGTTAAGAACTAGTAACTTGTCAGCGGATGACTTTAAAAGGTAGTCGATGGGTCGATACCAGAGCCCGCGATATGGTCATGTGATACTGGCTAGCGAATACCCCGTTTTGACAGCTGTCAATTGACCACAACAGATGTAAGTACAATATCAGGTTGCAGGCTCCTACATTAGCTAGAAAGTGTGACATTTTACATTTGTTTCCCTGTGGTGCGGGCGGATGGTTAGACGTTTTCCCGCCAAGATGGTGCTGGTTCTTGCGCGAGCACTTCTTCAGTACCGAGAAAATCTCGTATTAATTATTAATTCAAAACTTATAAGGCGCAAATATCTATGATATATTCAAATGCGCCGTACTACTCGTAGTTGTCCTCGTCTTAGAATATAAAATCTCCATTTATCGATTTTAGGCCACGGTAATCGTTTGTTATGTCAACATGTTTTTCCTACCAATTGAAGACCTAAAGCCATGGCAGATAGCACCCTGAAGCTCAGCTCTGTCATGGTCTCATAGGCACGTGTAATGTTGCTTTGGAAGTTTGGTATCTCTTCGTTGGGCCATCTCTGCAACACAAGAACATTGATGGTAAAAAAGAAAAAGAAAGAAACTAGTTGTAAAAATATAATTACAACACAAATCAGAAAACGATATTCTTGTAAACCAATAAAGACGCCCATTTAAAGGCTCGGAAAATTCGTCTTTATGCTGCTATACGCGAAACCGTTTTTATGATAAAAGAAATGCTAGCGCTGGCTCGGCTAGAAGGGTGACCCGGCAAGGTAGGTCAACCTTTTGTGAAGGTAGGCCCGGGGTCACCCTCCACTGGCTTACACTCACTTGGCTCGCCCAGCTGGGTTAACTAGATCAAAGCGAGACAATTAACGCATGTGCGAGTTCTGTTGTCTAGGACAAGGACAAAGGGGCCAACTTTTTTCTGATATCAGGAACGCTCGCTGTTAGAGGGCGACCCTGCTCGGGGTACGTTCTCTTCATATATCACCGGGTCTAAATTTTAATTCTGTGGACGAAAACGTCTGAATCAGAGGACGAAACTATATATGATGGTATAATTCAAATGAAACCTCTTTCAGACAAAACTTAGATGACGTCATCATATATCCAGATCTGGTTGTGGCCCAGACTGTCAGAATGAAAATTTTTCTTAGGAAATTGTAGAATAAACTTCCTGGCTAAATAACTGGCAACAGGGGTCCGTTATCAAAATACCTGGTAGGAAATAACCCGTCCGCCTCTATTCGCCGCAAACTATCAGGAATTAGGTAAGAAAAAATGGAAAAAAACTCTGGCACCCATTGCAAGTGTTAACAAGCTACCTACTAAAACTTACAAAATCTGCCTCATGAACTGAATTCAAATCCAAGGTTTCTTTGTAACATGGTGGTCTCTCTGAGTTAAGGCTGTGCAGGAAGAGAAAGCAAAAAGGGTTTGGTTTATTACTATATTATTTTTATCATTAAATTATTATTATTATTATTATTATTATTCAATAGACCTTTTGACTTGTATGTTTTGTTTTCCCAATTCAGACCACGTGAAACAGTTTTCCAGGGTACGGCACTATCACATGGTTTGAAATGGGAAAACAAATCCACGCAAACTGAAAACGTCTATCACTTGGGAAGAATATTTTGTAGCCAGTCAACTTGACTATAATGGCCCATTTCCCAGTGGACCCAAGTGTCTGTTTCAAAGCGAGACTCATGGGTGTTTTTAAAAAAGGACCCAAATAAAAGACCAGCTTCTGGTCGGTTTGTTAGGTCGAATGGTAGAGCGCGACATCGGTATCGCAGAGGTCAAGCGGGGTTCGAATCCCGTTTAATTAAGCCTGCATCATTTCAGACTAAATCTTATACGAAGCTGCAAAAGTTGTTTCTATAACTAAGATGATCTTCTTTCATTTAATGCTCCCCCATTTTGGCTAGGCAACTTTGAAAGGATGGCCGTTTTTTTCTGTTTCTCAAGAGCTAATGATGTTGGTTTTCACATGACGTCACTAAAATTCAAACCACAAAACTATCTATCCTACTGAGATTTTATTTTCATCGTGTATTAGAGCAGCTGAAATTAGTTTTCAAACAAATTTTCGTTTCTAAAGGGTTCTTGGTTTTGTAATAGAGTAAGCTTGAATTTCTAAGCTTTTGCGTGACGCAGCATTTCCATGACGGCCGAGAGGGCTGTCATTTAGATTAACAAAGTGACTTTTTTCGAGAAATTTTGCTATCTAAACAGTTCAAGTTTTAGAAAAAGTATTACTTTTATGTTTATGAGTTCCTCTAGGAGTAAATTCACGCTTTTGTAGCAGAACTCGGTAACAGATGTTTCTGTTGGTTTCCGTCCGCCATGTTGGAGCTCATCCAGATGAGCTCCAGCATGGTGTCTCCATACAAAGCTCTATAAATTTGGGTGAAACATTTCTTCGGATACCTCGTATACGAATTATTCCTTCAACCCAAATCTTGGCGAGGGTCTTTGTATATTTACCTCCATCCATTTCCCAGATTCTGGACTTTAACTGTCGAATGGTTTTGATTTTTATTTTGATCTATTTTGGATGGCGTGACACTGAAAACCAGCAATACAGTGCTACCTTTACCGCACATGCATGTCACAATTCTGGCCGATTGTTTGCACCATAAGTACAAATTAAGGGAATGGGCACGCATCAGTACCTTTCCGCTTCAAAAGGATTCCAACCATCTCTGCAGAATCTGTAGTCCCTTTTGTATTTCGTTTTTACTTCATGACTCAGGGCGAAGAACTTATCCATCTCCACAAAAATAGAGTCGATCTGCAGAGTTAAACAAGGAAATTAACTTCAAGGGTGAGTAAAATAACTGTTCCTCCAGTCAAGTTGTCTGCTCTATCAGCAAGTTCTTGCGAAGTTTCAATCGATTTCAAGGGAACTACTCAATGGAAAGTTATAATGACATGAATCAAGAGATGGTTTCCCGAGACCTTGGTATATTTTATACGTGGAATTCCACTTGAGAACGATGACTGGCACAAGGTCATTCATGATCAAAGGGGAACTAACGACACAAAATACTGTCGAACCTCCAGCTCTCTAAAGCGGCCACTTTTTCATGCCTTTTTAGGTCATCTGTTGACTGGACGAGTAAGTAACATACATTCATCTTTGTTAAATCTTTTCCACACTGAACGACAACGATGGCATGCAGTAGCCTGCAAACGCAGCCATTTTTTCGGTCGTCGCTCAGGGTGAAAAGGATCGACGACTGCGAATGCGTATGCGTTCGTAGGTAACGGCAATAGTAACGTACTAAATCGAGCCTCGACTGCTGGAAAAAGCTTTTCACCAGAACTATTGAAAAGCGCACGCACCTATCATCTGTGACTAGTTAACAAATGCACACATGGACAATTAAGCCTAACATAGCAGGTGCTTTTTTTTCGCCTCAACCGTCTTATAGACCCTTTTTTACCCAGTTTTTGAACTTAAATTTAAAAACATTTACAACAACAACGACAAAACAAACATTCGAACAAAAACGCACTGTTTCCTGCGGAATCCCATGGTTTTTAAGATACACAAATCCAACCGTGCTAAAGGCGTTGTAGAGTTCCTCAGCCAAGTCTTTGACAGCATTGCTATTTTCCGCCCAAGGCTGATTCTTGTTTTGTAAACCCATAGCGCTAAAATCTATAACAGGAATAGCCATCTTGGTCCAGTAAAGCTTCGAAACTAAAGTGCTTTCCAGATTTTTGAAGAAATCTGAAATAAAAGGAGAAGGAGATCATTTGAGACTTCGAGTCCGTTGACGCAAGTCCGGTCAAATGTTTGAAAGAACGCATTTTTTACCTGTGCCACCCATTTATCCTGGCTCCTAATAGCATTGCACTTATATTTATCTTTTTTATTTAAATTTAGGTCCTCAAAAACTAGGCAACAAAGGGAAAAAAGGAAACACGTTTATCCTATTTACAATTCCCTGGCTATCACTGTCTTGCAAACTCTAGTTTTCAGCGATAGATGAATGTATGAGAGATAAAGCACTGAAACAACAAAACTGTCTGACAACTATATTATTGAAACTCAAACAATAATCAACACGCCATTTCGGCTAACCGAGCTTGTTATGTGCATGCATTGCACTGAGGCCTGAGGAAGGAGTCCTTGGTAACCCAGGCCCCTCGGATGTGACAGTAAGCGGGAAAAAAAATGATTTTGTTACTTAAATATGCCCGTAAAACTGATCTCAGGCCAAAGAAGTTGGTTGTATGATCAATAAATAACAATATTTGTGCTGCAAAACTAGCCAAAAGGGCAAATTATGCAAGCAGTGCTTTTTTCGCGAAAATGAAAATTATGCATGTTATGACGGATACCAAAGTTATGCTAGCGCAATCTATCATCAAAAGCCACATGTTCTGTTACAGATTGCAGTGCTCTTTGCACGGTACAAATTAAATTTGTGAAATCATGGGATATGTCGGGATATTCTAAAAAAAACATCCAAAAGGCCTACTTGCTAGACAAACTAGCATTTTGGGGCAAAGAGTCTCTGAGATACTAGCCCCGTTTTCCTGTGATGACCCCTTACAAATTACAAATCCTTCTAACTATGGCCTTGGTTCTCAACGTTATGGGGGGAAAGGCTGCCGTTTTTCTCCGAGGCGTGGCCCCTTAGTACATAATTTGAAACAAAGATAACTACCTGTAACGTAACCTGCGGAGCTGGCGATTTTAATGGTGTGACTTTCGTTTTTGGTTCGTATTTATACGGCCGCGCGCGAGGTTAAACGAGAAAACGATGGCGGAGAGGGCGAGGGAGAAGGAGAGAAAAACTACCTTCACTGCCTTCACTGGCTTCTCTCCTCCTCCCCCATCGCGAGATTTCGCGCGATGCGGAGGAAAAGGCCACTCAAACTGTCGTCTCCTATTGCGTTGGGCACTCGCGTGACTTCTCACAACTCCCCCAAATGGGGAGCTTGCTCGCGGGCTACCTGTTACGGTGAAGTCTTACGGAAAAAAACAAAACAAGATCTTCAATTTTCAATGAATCTTGGAAGGGTCTTTGTTTTTTACAACCCCCCTCCCCCAAAGTGAAACGAAGAACCCCTTCAGAGTCACTTGAAAAAGGCTGGAAAAAGTTATCACGACCTGAAATGCATGTCTAAGAAACAACAAGAACTTCAATTATCAACAAATTTTGCCATTATTGTTTCTACACGTGGTCGCGAGCTTTTGAGACTTTTCACAATAGTGACATGGGGTTTAATACAAGTAGAATCAACTCTGTTTACATTAATGAGAAATAGTGTTTTATGTCAAGGAATCTATCTCGTTCGCATTATAAGTATTTTGAATTTCTATCTCATCACACTCTGTCGGTTTTCTTTCTGAACAAACTCGAGGCAAAGAGGCTAATTTTTAGCGATATATTTTTACGTGGCTGCTGTGTAACATCAACGGTGGTACAGGTGTATTATGCATACTGCAGTTAGAGCTTACTTAACATGATGTAATATATATTATAAATCTGTACAATTTAGTTTTCAATTTTTATTCCAAAGGTTTTCCAGTGGGGTATTACTTTTTCGTGAGCGTCTGACTTTTCTAAACTTATTATACTTCTTGAAACAAACAAACAAACAAAAAAAATAATAAAAAATACGCCCTCCTTCTTCCTTTCATATATTCTCACTATACTAACTTTTTGGACTCTATTTTCAATAAATTTCCTTTTACAATTGATTCCGGTTTACCGGCCTTTATTCGCTTGAACATGTATTTTTTTCAAACTCCCGTCGCGTGCTTTCCCCGCTTGGATAAATTCTCCAAGCATCAAGACCGCCCGGAGTTTTCGCAGGTAATGTTCCGGCAAAATTCGAGGGAAAATGAAGGGATCCGTTTTCCCTCTTCTTGTAAAGCAGAAGTTTAGTCTTAAAATGAATCGCATTTTGTTACCATTTAGTTACGTAATTAGCCAACCGTTTAAAGACTGCGAATCAGATTCGCCTTCGAGTTTTTGCGTCCTAGAAGATAAGTCAGAGTACACAGAATTTTAAATTGAGTGAAAGTATTCTTAGCGAGACTAGTCCGGGATAAAAATTAACTATTTTCTAAAAATAATGTTCACAGCTAAACAAAGAAGGTCAAAATCGAAACACAAAGAATACACAGACGCACATACCTCAGGCTCCTGTTAACAACTCGGCGATAATTAATTAGAAGGATCTGTCAGTATCTAGCTTCTGTTGCTTTTAAATAATACATTACGTTTTCATAATATTTGCTTTAAGCTGCCAGTACGGCAGGACTGGACTGGACTGGACTATAGTCAAGAGGAAAACAAGTTAACGTGTACAAGCAGGGGCGTAGCCAGCCCACAGATCAGTAGGCGCGGGCCTACAAATTTTTGGTTCATCACTCTCGCTTGTAATAAATTATGCGTTGTTGGGGTGAGCTAAAAAGCTTTAGAACTCAAAGTGTTGGTGAGGTCAGTGCTGTCCTGTCCAATTCTCGTTTTACGGTAATCCCAATTTTCAAACAAATTGAAACTGGACTAATGAGATGGGCCCTTTTCTCCTGCCATAAAACAGACATCTCCGGTCTGAGCAGGAGTGAAATGGGGCAAAACGGGCTTCTTTTTTAATGAGGCTTGCCAGTGCACTTATGGGCGAGGATATACAATATGTATTTATTAAAAACCTTTTTTCCCCACAAACACCTCAACCCACCTTTCGCAGCTTTTTTTTTGGTTTTGTTTTCTCTAACCTGCAACATCGGGCGATTTGTTTCAATGCGTTTTTGTGCTCGTATGCATATATCTCGTGTGTATACATTTGAATTCAAGAGTCCATTTGAATATACTGCACAAATTAGAAATTAGTAAGAAAATTGGCTTGTGAATTATACCTGTCTATGTTTGCTACATATACATCAGTGTATTTATCAGTTTTGATGCGGAGTTTTATCGCGCTCGGCATTTATCGTGCCATAACGGTATGGGCAGCATCAGTTAGTGAGATAACTGAAACATACTGATTCATTGATGAAATGTTAAGTTTTTTGGTCTTTGAGATATTTTTTTCCTTATTTTAGGGTGTTTCAGGGGGATTCCTGCCTCTCAGGCAGATCAGTGGGTGTTTCTGGGGTATTCGGGCTTCTGGGGTGTTCCGGTTGTGTTCCAGGGTGTTCGGTTCCGTTTACTGTTCCGGATTTTACAGACACCTCTTTGCGGGTTTGCAAAGGTGTTGTTTGGCTTATCTAACCTGTTGACTCCCGTTGCGGTCTTAAACTTCCTAAAATAATATTTCTTTTAATCTAAGTATGTCATTAAAAAGTAAGCCTTCAATATGAATAATTGTTAAGCCTTATTTAAACTGTTCTATTGTTAAAAACACTCATTTAATAGAATCCTGACTTATCTATCACATAATCATGTATTTGATAACTTGGTTATTCCAAGCAATTCACAAAAAGCCCATTTTGGGTTAACAAGTCGTTGGCGTCGCGTCGTTGGTTTGTTATATAAACAAACCAACAAGCAACGCGAACGACTTCGTAAACGCCAAAGGCCATGCAAGACGAAAACCTCTGCTCATAGCCGTGAGGCTAGATCGGGCATGAACTAAAACGTTTGAATCATGGAGAATTCTCTTTTTAGCCATAGTTAGTGGAGGAGACTGGTTAGCAAACTCGACAAATATCAAAGTTGAAAACAATGTTGCTGTAGTTTATGTTGGAAGCTCCCTGACCTTGCGCAATCCTTTGTTTTTTGTTCACAAGTTGTGACTGAATAATTAATGTTTGTATTGGTCAATAACTTCAAAATGATAGGAATGCTATTGAACGTTGTGCACGGACAGATCCAAAAAAGCTAACAAAAACCTATAACAAATGGTTTCCTAACCATTCCACTTTAATTAACTATGTTTTAGCGAAGTAGCAAACACTCATTTGCCTTTCATGATCAGCTAAAAAACTAAGATTAAAATTATCGGCAGCCTTACATTTATAATTTGTTGCACGGATTTATTTTTACTAGAATGTGAAGTACTCTACTGATTTCAAACAAAATCTGATATAAAAACTCCTTTTTTCAGTGTGTACTGCTTACTGTAAAAACCCAACTAACCTGCGCCTGCCACGCAGGCTACAGTCGCTAGGGGTAAAAAGAAATCGCACCAGGGACGTTAATGTGTTTTCAGTTTGAACGCCAGGTGCCTGGAGACATGAATTTCCCGCATTCGCGATGCTCGTTAACGCCCTTTAACATCGCCCCACCGACAACCTCGTCCCTGGGGACGAGGCTACCCCACCGACAATCTAATGAGAGGAGAAGCGGGAAGAAGCTACGATCGCCAAATAAAATGCGAATATTTTGATCTAATATTGTTGACTGTGTTTTGGTTCCGGCTTAGCCCCTTTGTTTAACTAGGTCAGATTTCGTGACCCGTGAAAATTGGTTTTTACCCACGTGATAAGTGAAATTTGTCAAAATTTGTACGTGAAACGGGACCATGAATTCCCTTTGCTATCCTCAAAAAGTTGTTTAACTACACAGTTTATTGAACAAGGTCTAGTAGTATTTCTACAATTACACAATTCTATTATCTGTGCTCAGTCTTATAACTGTATATAGGTGTGTTCTTTAGCCAAACGTAGCATATGTTTTGAGCTGATCCAGTTTCACTCTCAATTATTTTTTCCCAAGAAAAGTAGCAGTTCACAATACAACGGTGGAAATAGAACCTTTGAAAGCAGAGGCCCACAAAACGCGTTAAGGTTAATTCGTTCTTGCCGGATTCTCTGATGTAGAAACATGTAGAAATTCTTGAACCAGTGTAAATTTTTAAAATCAAACCAATGTATATGGCAATACAGCAAGGGGTTGGTTAGAGGCCAATAATTTGGCAAACAAAATTAGCTTTTCTCAGGGCCAGAGCTACACGGCTCCTAAACCTTTTAATTAAATTTACATTCAGTAGTCTAGCTAGTTAATGATAAACTAAAAATACTGTAGAGCATGATACATAGGTAAAAAAAATCATGCGATAAAGTGCCGTTAATAAAGGCTTTCTGAATCCAGGGGTGATAACTAAAACAATGATGTTACTTAACAGCTGAGACCTTCCAGAATTACATGTCTTTAACGTCTAGCAGGTAATCAAAAAAACACACACACAGGGGACCCCTACAGCGTATCTACCGGTACTTGAAAGCCAAGATGATTTCCGTGTTAATCACCATGGTCATATACATTTCTCAAAAGTAATGATAGCAACATTTCAGGTTAAAACACTGTAGTTTTCAATTGCATTTTTGTCCTTAGTATTGTCAGTCCGTTTTTTACATGAGGAAACTTTCAAAGTTTGATTTTAAGTGACGCGACACGAGGAAACATCTCTTTTTCAAAACCGTAGTGTTCCACGCGCTTTTGCTTTTTGTTCCTTTAATTGCTTCACAAACAACCTAGGAACGCACAATGAAACGCACAATAGAAACAAAGGTCGGCAAATTTCGGAACAATCTGGTCTGTTAGCAGCAAATTGGATCAACACGCAGTTCCATTTCATTTTAGTCAAAAGGAACAACTGGTTCCTCTTTTATCCTCTCAGGAACAAAAGGTCCTTTTTCAACAGTTCCGATTTCCCTTCATGTTCCTTTCGAAGTGATTGGGGAACAAATGTTCCCAATCTAATTTCTCGCTCTACACAGTAAGGAACAAATTGTTCCTATTTACTGGCATATCCACTGCTGTTCGGAACGCCTTGTTCCCTTTCGGTTCAAATTGTTCCTATTCATGTCCAACAGGAACGGAATTGTTCCTAATCGAGGAGATGGTTTGTTCCTCAAGATGAGTGTTATATTCCGCGTATAAATGGGAACAGGTTCGGAATTTGTGACAAAGGAAGTAGCGTTCCATTTTGTAAAAAGGAATAGGGAACAATAGCTCCTATTTATCGTAGGCTATCTGAATCTACTGTTCATCACCTCTGCTATACAAATTTATCAAAACATATATCCTTCAACGATCAAGCTAAGTACGAGACTTGCCCGCTAAATGTTTAACCTCGTTTGGGCTTACCCGCGCAAGTTCAGGGTTGTGTCTTTGTTCCTTTTGATTAATTGTGTACCAAATACGGACAAGAAAACAATGGGGCAAGGGGCAAGATATGACCAAGTGTGGGCAGAGATTGGGTAACAAATATCTCATTGGCGAATAGGATGATCTCTTGGTGACCCTTTTGCTAGTATAAGTGCGTGCATACTTTAGAAAGATATCGATTTCAAGTTAATGCTTAAGATGAACAAACGAGGCAAGGATGTCAACTGGTCAAAGTTAGCAAATGCATCGCCTAAACCAAAGAGACTTCACTTGGAAGAGGATGACTGTTATGGTCTTTTCTGCCCAGTGCAAATTTGTAAAAAACCACGATGGATTCACTACGAATAAGAGGCTGTAGAAAGCACGTAAAGATCAAACACAGTTGGTACTATTACTTCGACCCGTAGCCAGACAGTGTGCAAATCGATACCCTTAATGTCGATGAAACCGACAAATGTGAAGCCAGTGATCAGAAGATTATACCGCTTAAAAGCAGGGCAATTGCCTCTTTTGATACTACGAACAAAATTGTCAAGAACTTTTTTTCGTGGCTCACTGGCGGTGGTGGGGACTGTAAAAGTGATCGACAAACACAACAGATCGTAAGCAAGTGATAAAAGTTTCTCAAATTTTGTTGCGAAGACGAAGAGGAGCTCACATTTGACATTGTGGACTTTAGTTTATGTTCACCGAATTTTCTTTTCAAGTTTGTTGATACGATGCAGGATGATTGGAACCTGGGACACACGGGACGCATAGGCTAATTGAACGCCATTGCAGAATTGGTGGATTATCAAAAAGTGAATGGAGCATCGGAATCAGTATTGAGGGGACTGGCTTCAACAGAAATTTACTTGAAAAAGGTGCGCAAAACCGTTTCCAAAATGATGCGGTTGCAGTGGACCAATGAACTCGACATCGATGCCTTAGAAGCTAAGGGACACTGAGCCACTCTTGCAGAACTGTTGGAAGTCGTGGGGCGTTACCTGCCGCGCTACGAGAGCGTGATGAAATCATGTAAGGAGAAACCGGGTGTTGTTTTGCCCATAGATTTAGTTTTTGCTACCAAATTTTTGGCCGTCTATTTATTTATCAAGGTCAAGGGCTCGCGCCCCATGACATATCAGTATTTAAAGGTGGAAATGGTTAACAAAGCCAAGACTAACGGTGGTTTTATAAACCAGAAAATGTTCAAAACAGCTGGCAAATATGGCTTCGATTCTCTTTACCTGACTGAGACGAGCATGAAAGTGTTGGATGGCTACATCAACCACATTCGCCCCCTACTCAGACCGACTTGCGACTCTGTATTGGTGACGAGAAAAGGAGGGCAGCACAACAAGCTGGGAGAGCTAATGAGTAAACTGATCTTCGATGCAACGGGCAAATACATTCACCGACTCGTTATCGACAGATTGTGGAGACCGCGAGTTCCAGGCAGCTGAGCAGCAGCGCGCAGAGCACAATCTCCGAGGACCAGAAACATAGCTCTGTTGTTGCAACGGTTCACTATCAGAAGCAGCGGTCGCGCGAGGTTGGCGAGCAAAGCACATGAATATTTGGAACGATAGCATGGGGAAAAGGCAATTTTGCGTCTTCTGAAGATCAAAGTGGTATCAAAACTGACACTTTCTCAAATGATGAGGGAGAAGCGATCCCAGAAACAACACTCGAGCGTCTCTCAGGTGTCCCAACATAAAAGCGGGAGAATGCATTTGTAGTGACAGATTTCCCAGCGAGAAAAAAGAGTCTGATGTTCACCCCTGAAGGAGACAGTATCTAAAAGCAGGCATTGAACGACACGGCTACGGTCAATAGAAAGCTTTTCTCAGAGATTCCGAATTTCATTTTCAAGAGGGAAGGACAGCCAACTCAATGCTGAGCCTTGCAGCGCGAAGATTTGTATCATTTTCTAAGTTACCCTAGAACTTTACATTGTGAGCGATACAGAATTTTGCGAGCGGCGCCGGAGCACTGAACTCTAGTTAGTTCATCTAACTCGAAACTTTAGTGCAACCTTAATACTAGGCAAGACAAAGGAGAGGCATGCTTTCAAACATCAATTATTGTCAGACAGATAAGTCACAGGACTGCTAAATTTATTCCTTGATTTCTGAAAACGATTGATTGATTTGAATGATTTTCTGAATTTTTATTGCTGGCTGGGAGAAACAAAGGGAGTTATTCTTCCTCTCTTGGGCATCGGAGTACTTGTTGGGGGCTCGCCTTCGGTGCTTTTCGGAGCGGATGAGAGGCTGTGGGCTCTGGGTGCTGTAGAGTGCGTTATGAATAGCTGCTCGTCGTCGTCTTCGATCTCACGGGGATAGGGAAGGGGGCACCAGATGCTGCTGCTTGAGTCGGGGAGACCCACTACATTTCTACGGCTTTCTTCGTCCGCTGCAAAAGTACTAACTTTGCCAGGCCCGGAACTTCTTCCTTTTGAAACTTTAACTTCAGAGCCTCAGCGGTCACTTCCATCATGTACAAGAGGGCACGCTTCGTATCTTCGTCTGTCGCTGCGTCTTCTTTGGACTGGTGGTCTCGAAGTTCCATTTTTTTCGCCACAATCCAATCATTGTTGTAGTACTCTCGTGCTTTCATCTCTAGCATCCGTTGTTCTTCTTCTTTTTTCTTTGCAAAGTATTCTTCCCTTGAACTTTCGATGTTTGGATGGTAGGCGCTGCTCACTGACTGGAGCAAAGGGACGTCGTCTTCCCTCATCATAACGAGCGAGATCCATCGTTGGCGTGTTTCTTCTAGAGCACGTTTTCGTGCGCGTTGGTCTTGGTTGTTAATGTCCTCCACTGCGCGTTTTACCCCAGCTGCGAGTTTTTCTCGATGTTCTTTAGACTCTTCTCCCATTGGCCCAAGTAGGTCGAATCAGTATCCGAGTCTTCACTCTCTCTTTCTTGATCACTGAATTCTGTAGTCGTGTTCACCTCCGCCTCTTTCTCTTCTTTCTCTCTCCGCTTCGTTCTTTCTCTTCTTCGTCAATGTCCTCCGGAAGTAAACTGGTCCTCGGGATAGGAGGGGGTAGTTCATCGTCCGGCGTTCTTGCGAAACCACGTGCCCAGACAATGAAATACATTGCATTGTCTCGTAGGAATTCTTGAATTCCTGCCACACGCGGCGCGTTAAGGCTTTTAAAAAAGGACTTTCCTAAGCTGGCGTCCATGGCAGTGTTGTGGTGCTCCCCGAAATCCAGGTCAGTCTGACAAGTGATAAACATGGGGCATCTTATTACTTTCAGACGTCTTATACTTGCGGTCGTGGGCGGTTAGCCCTCCCTGCGTCAGTATTTTCCAGTCATCTGGATCCATCAGGTTGGCGTGTGCCTCGTCCAGGAAGATTATTTGCGTGTTTTCGTCGACTAAGCTCTTGTTGAACGCCTTTTGCGTAGTGATCATCGCAATGTATCTTGCTTGGGTCAGGCGCGAGATGGGCGTAAAAAGGCTCGTTTTTCCACTCTTCGGCTCTCCTGCCAGACACAGTACTTTTTCCTTGTGTTGTTTGAGGCGGCAGTTGAGCAGTCGAATGAAGTATTCGCAGAAGTGCGCCATTTCCAGCTCGTTGAGACTGTTCTCTAAAATTTGTTTGAAGTACCCAGGGTCTGGCTTTTTAGTGTGTTTGTAGTCGATGTACGCCCTGGGAGATTCTTTGCCAATGTCCGCGTCTTTCACGGGCTCAAAAACGAACTTTCTCTGGCTATTGAAAAGCACCATCCTTCTAATACTTCGATCAAGTCGTACTGGATACGAAGCTGCCTTATAGCTTACGATCTCACATTCTCGATCGCCAAGTATCTCCACGAGTTTGTTCAGATGGTTGATGATAGTATCCTTGAACTTATCCTTGCTTTCCAGCAGGGAAAGAATTTTTTTAACCGGGAAGAAATGCTGATATGTGTATTTGGATGACTTTAACTGTTAGAAAACTTCTCCACAGTACAGAGAGTCGCCCAATTTCTCCATGGCTCGTTCGATGTCGTTTATCGCTACCACAATCGACGACGCGGGAACTTTCGTGGCTTTTGGGATGTTTGAAGGCAATTCACATGCCTCGATGCCAAATACATCAAGTTGCAGACCGGAACTGACGAGAGAGGGTATCAATCTGTCTCAAAGCTTTGCGGTGAATGAGCCAGCAACAAACTGTAATCTGACCACACGCTCACTTGCATGAAGGTTCTCCATGGGCTCTTCCATCAGTTGCTCTTGTAGCAGTTGAAGACTATGGGAAAAAGACTTGTCGACTTTGCTTTGTATGAAGTAGTTGTTGTGATCTTTAATTTTAGCGTGGTGAATAATGGTGAGCAGGATTCCTCTTCACATCCTCTTTTGCAGACTGGTAGGGCTTTGGCTGTGTCACTTCCATGCCTGTTTGTAAGAGAGCCGAATGCAAAGGTAGGGTAGATACGCGCGTGCCATGGGGGGACAGAACGGCAATCACTGCAATCCTCTAAGTAATTGCTGGCCAGTACTTTTCTTGAACTTCATCGTTCTGTTCGTCCTCTTGTTCTTCGTTGTTCTATTTTTTCCCCTTACTTCGTCTCTCTAGGGCGGCGACAGAGGAGAAAAAAATGCCACTCCTTTTCGGTTTTGGCAAATGTTTAACCACAGATTGTCACAAGATATTCCTTCACGTCTGTTGTACGATAAGAGCGAACAAGCTCCTTGGACAGCTGACAAGACCTTGGTTAGCAGGGCGCTTTTGATTCCCTAACATTTGTGCAAGAAAAAGAAAATAATCAGTATAGTTTGAGCTACATTGACAAAGTAAACTTGTAGGAAAAATGTCTTCAGGTTTTGCATTTGCATTTGCAATGCAACAAGCTACGCTGAATTATAGGTTTACAGGTTCAAAACGCCTTAGCAATAGAGTTGTTTACTACGAACTTCATTAACTCGTTCTCTAAAAGAACTAAGAGCATGTTGTCTTCCGTAACGAATCTTGAAGTTACGACGAAGAAATATCAAGTCTAGTACATACCTTATTATCGAGTTGCCGTGCTGCTACTTTTGTAGCTTGGTAGCCAGATTTTTGTAGTTCTTCTGTGCGGTCTTTTGAGTTTGATAAATTCCAGCAAAAAAGCTGCTACGGTGCAAGAATTGCACGAAAAAGGTACAATAATTACGTAATCGATAGCTCTTATCACATTTCGTTTTCATGAAGTTTTGTTGACAATTCACAAATAGTGGATAATGAGGTGTTCACGTTAGCAAAGAGTGTAATTTTTAAACAAAGTCTGAAAACTTATAATTACGTAATCGGTCGTTGTAATCACATTCTTTTTCATTATAAGTTTTGTTGACAATTCACAAATAGTGAACAATGAGGTATCCACGTTAGCAAAGAGCGTAATTTTTAAACAAAGTTTGAAAACTTGTAATTACGTAATTGATCGCTGTGATCACATTCTTTTCATGAGGTTTTGTTGACAATTCACAAGGAGTGGGCAATGAGGTATTCACGTTAGAACAAAAGTGTAATTTTTAAACGAAGTCTGAATACTTATGCGGCGAACAAGCAATCTCAGAATCAGCGAAAACCTTAGGCACACTTTTGGCAGGATTATTATTTTCTGCAGCACATAGATATCCCCGGTGTATCCGTCATATCCATCACACTATTTATATTCTGCAATTTAGGAGTTCCCAAATAATGCAATAAAAACGCATCATAACTGAAATGAATGGGATGTCACATAAGACAACAGAAGCCTTTCTTGTCACTGAACTGTGTAAGAGGGCTTCCCTGTATTATCTGATGTATCCGTCCCTCGAAATAAAATATGTGGATTTTCAATGAGATCTCCGAGTCTAAAAGAACTCGAGAATAATGGTGATAGCGGATACAACGGGGACACAACTTACAGCACATCAGATCTGCTTCAAGGAATACATAAAAAATCTAAAGTGTAATGGGGATAGCGGACACAATGGGGACAGAACTTACAGCATAAGATATACTACTACTACTACTACTACTACTACTACTACTACTACTACTACTACTACTACTACTACTACTACTACTACTACTACTACTACTACTACTACTAATAATAATAATAATATATATTATTATCATTATTATTATTGTTATTATTATTATTACTAGTAGTAGTAGTAGTAGTAGTAGTAGTAGTAGTAGTATATGTTATACTGTAAGTTGTGTTCCCGTTGTGTCTGCTATCCCCATTATTCTTTAGATATTTTATGTGTACCTTAAAGCAGATCTGATGTACTGTAAGTTCTGTCCCCATTGTGTCCGCTATCCCCATTAATTGCCAAAACAATCTTCCTTCTGAGTTCTTACGTATTGCAGACTGCAATCAACGAGGAGCTGGGTAGCTCGCTTTATAGCATAATTTAATATATAATGCTACACCGCATGAGGCAGTCATAACTGAACGTCGTAAAATGAAAGCGTGTATAACACATTTTACGTTTTCAAGCTTTCTCAGGCAAGTTAAGGCATGGGTTGAAAGGCTAAAAAAAACCCGCAGAGAATGCAAAGATCCTTTTTAATGACGCAGAAGGATCCAAGTAGACGGCTCCACGAAGGTATGATAAGACATATCTCACTAAAATAGTTTTGAAAAATTCATTCCAAGCATCACGTGACATTCCTTGGACCACGACGTCACAAAACCTGTTTTCTCAAACGGGGCAGGGTTGTTAAGCTTTAGCCTAAAGATATTTGTCATCAAATTGTCAGCGAAACTGTCTCGATTGTCATTTAACCTTGCAAGATGGATTAAAGCATTTTTATTAAGAGTTGTTAAAGTCTTTTATAAGTAACGTGACCTGTTTTTTCTTTATTTCGTAATCCTTGCTCCACGTAGGGATACATGCAGGGCTATTTCATATTAGCAAAATCTAACTAGTGGTCTATTATCAATGCTGCGTTCTGACTGGTTGAGCTACTACTAGGCTATATGTTATGGCCCACTTGTAGCGAAGAGCGCTTTGAAAACCACAACAATGGCGGCTGAATCGCGGTTTACGAGCTAAAGTTCTTTTGTCTCGATATTTTTTGACCAACCAGTTGGATTTAACTAAAAAAATTATTTCTCTCGCCCTCATGGCCTCTGAGTCAATAGCCCTTTCAGCCTTCAGCCTCAAGGGCTATTGACCCAGAGCCCATTCGGGTTCGAGGAATAATTGTTAAATATCCAGGCCATGGGAAAAACGCTGGTGCCTAAGAATATTTGTAGCTCTTTCATTTCCCTTCCCCTGTTTTATTTCAACACTTTGAGCGTTAACGAGCATTTTCAGGTCACGTGACTAATATTTCAACAATGAATATGTCACATATTGTTAAGGCCACCGAGCTAAAACTGTTTGCCAAGTTTCACGACGACTGATCAAAACAATCCGTTTCAAATGCCACATCGCCAAATTATGCAAATTATGAGGTGACCCACGCCTTTAAAACATGTCTGAGTTAAAGAAAAAGTGATGGATGACTGCAACCAGGCTTATGCTGCGACTCACAGCGTGAATCAGCTTTGTTTGCTTAAACAAAGAAAGACTATTTTGAGTCGCAAAGACCTAAAGTTAGCACTAAGTGAAAATCACTCACTTTGTTGCTAAGATAATCTGACAATAGTAGATTTTTTGCAGCAAGCAGCTTCGAAGACCTCAATCAAGAGGTAGAGGTTCATTTTATGGCACAATTCAGGCTAAATTTATTATGTATACCACGGGGGAGTCAGAGGAAATTGAGGGGGGATCTTAAAATGTTTTGGAAGAAACAAGGGGAATGAAAAAAATTTCTGAAGGTAAGAAGGGGGTTGCCAATTTTTTTAGTTGCTGCTTGAAAGTACCTTTAATGTTATTGTTCAGCCATTACACTGGGGCACCCAACGTCAATTTTCAGAAAATATCTGTTCGGAAGGCGATTAGAGACCTAGAATTTTCGGAACATTTGTTGTAAAATTTCTTCCTTTCCCACCTCTCCTAGGATTTTCGAACATCTACAACATGGTATAATTACCCATTTTTTAACAGATTTTTACGCTAAAAAGGTCACCTAGAAATTTCAGGAGCCTTTTTTCTGGCTGAAATTTTCGAAAAGGCAAGTTTTGATTCCGATCATTTTTGGTCACTAGACTTTCAGCTAGGAAATCCGAACAGATGAAAAATTTTGTCGGGGATAAAAATATGCCTATATATCTACCATTTAAATTCTAAACTACGTTTAACAATGCTATGTTTAAGTGGTTTTGAACTATATTCTCGTTGGGTGCCCCTGATTATACAAATGAAGTTCTTTATTATTTTCAAGTTCAATGAAATAAATTCAGCCTTAAGACTTCCGTACAACTTCCTTCATTTATTATGCATTATAATTTCATACTTCTTCACAGTCACAAATAATAAGAACAAAGAATGAACAAAGAATGGCTATTTTGAACAAACCAGTCTAGATTATTCTGCTGCACGGAAAGGACACTGATGACCGTAAATCAGTCAACGAGTTTCGAAAGAGTGAAAATCACGTACTCTTACTAAGGCCCGAGCGTCAAACAATATCACACCTGATATCAGTGAGTAAAGAGGGAAAATGGCACAACTGAAACAGATACGTCAGATACGTATACGCCGTAAGCTTTGTCCAATATGCTAACTGATTTCTTTGTGAATATTGTCAAAGAGTTACGTTGAAGTAATGGCTTAACTCCAAAAGCCAAATTTCGACTATAAGAAGTTAATGA